AGGGTCGATATGAGTCGGAAACGACTCGATGGCACATAACAAAACAACAGATCTCCGGGCCTTTCTTCCTAGTCCAGCTTGGTCTTGAATCGTCAGTGACACCTGTTTAGCATCATAAAAACCTTCAAGACTCTACTGACAGAGGAGTGGTTTTTCACATTAGTTGTATTAACCCGAAATGAAACCTGATCTCTGGCATGTTGTCAGCTGCCATTGAATCGATTCCAAGTCAAGGTAATTTTTGTACAAGAGGACAGAACACTACCCAGTCCAAGTTCATCCTCACAATTGCTGCTCTGCTTGAACCTCGTGGTTGGCAGTTAACTGTGTTAATCCTTCTCCTTGAAGATCTCTATTTCCGTGACCCTCTATTTTACCACGGATGAAGTCCCAGGGGAACAGGCCCCTTTAGATAGCAAATCTAAAGTAAAAGAAATCGTACCATCCTCCCTTCCCAGAACAATTCTGACTCTCACTCTTCAATGACAATTTGTTTGTTGTTCTGTAAGAAGAATATTTTGATGCTTCTTTGCCAACACTTACTTCAAATGCATCCATTCTTCCCCAGCCTTCCTAATAAATTGTCCAACTTTTGAATGCATAAAGGATTGAAAATACCATAGCTTATGTCAGGTGACAAGTTTGCTATTTAAAAATATGAGAGGTCCCTTGAAGCAGATGTAACCAATGTAATATGTCTTTCAATTCTTTGACAGCAATTTCAATGGATGTTGATTATGGTTCCAAGTAAAATTAAATTTCACACCTTCCCTCTTTTCAATATTTATCATTGTGTTATTTATTGGTCCAGTTGTGAAGACTTTTGTTTGTGTGCTGTTGAGGTATAATCCATTCTAAAGGTTATATTGTTCTTAAGTGTTTCAAATCCTTTTCACACTCAGCAAGGTTGTATCATTTGTATATAGCAAATAGTTTAGTCTTTCTCCAACCCTATTGTCGCATTTTCATTCATATAGTTCAGTTTCTCAGATTATTTGCTCAGCATATAAATGTACTAAATATGCTCAAAACTTATGACCTTAACACCACACACTTTCCTGATTTTAAATCATGCAATATCCCTCTATTATGTTTGAAAAAGACTGCCTCTTCATCAGTGTACAGGTTCTGCACAAGCACAATCAGAATTCTCATTTTCACAATGTTACCTATAATTTGTTATGTTCAATACCTTTGCATAATCAGTAGAACACAGATAAAAAGCTTTCTGGCATTTACTGTTTTCACTCAAGATTCATTTAACATTAGCAATGAGATCCTTTGGGGTTTTTTAATATATGTTTGTTTAAATAAGTTTGTTTATACTAGTTTACTTACAAAGTTCATATGCATTGTTTTCACACCGGATCTTTCCCATTTCCTTTAATCATCCCTCACTTCTCCCATCAAAGTGTGTGAACCCATGATTAACCACCCCTGCCTGTCCTCACCCTTCTGCTCCCACTCTCCTGATTTTGGATCCTCAAACATGTTCTACAATAATGATCTTATACAGTATTTGTCATTATGGAAATGAGTTAGTTCACTTAGCATAATGCTGTCCAGTCCCTCCCAAGTTAGGTAGTAATTTACAAAGTCATTTCTCTGGCATGCTGCATAGTATTCCATCATGTGAATGTACCACAACTTCTCAACCCATTCATTTGTGGTTGGACATTTGAGCAGTATCCATGTTCTTATAATGGTAAATAATGCTATGTGATCCCTTGTTTTAATTCTTCTGAATTCTACTCAAATTTCTGAAAATTCCATGTCATTGGACCACATCAACAGTTTTTCCATTAACTTCAACAAAATCTTATGTACATATGTTGTTACTATTGCTGTCATTGGGAGGTGCTGTCAAGTCAACGATGATTTACAGTGACCCTACGAATTACAGAGCTGAATCCAGTCCTAACTGTGCCATCCTCACCATTGCTGATACTCTTGAGCCCTTTGCTGCAGCCATTATGTCAGTTCATCTCTATGGGTCTTCCTCTCTTTCACTGACTCTTCATTCTTCCAAGCATGATATTCTTTTCCAAGAAATACCCTCCCCTAGAAACATGTCCAAAGCATAAACAAGGAGCATTTTGACTGAAACTTTTCCACTTTTTCTGGCAGTCCATGTCCATTCAGTACTCTTCTCCAACACAAATCAAAGGCATCAATTCTTATTCTGTTGTTCTTATTCATTGTCCAGTTCTCAGATTCATAGCAAGTAATGAAAAAGACCAAGGTCTGAAGCAACCTAATCTTCAAACTGACATTCTTGCTCCTCAGTATTTCGGAGAGGTCTCTCTGATAGACATGTCTAAGCAATAAGTCTCCTTATCTCCTGACTGCTGGTATAGAGTGTTGTTTGTGGATCCAAGTAAGATTAAATCACTAACAACTTTTCCCTTTTTCCCCATCTGTCATGATGCCTATCAGTACAGTGATAAGAATTTTTGTTTACTTGATGTTGCAGTGCAATCCATATTGAAGGCTGTATTCTTTGATCTTTTCAATCTCACATCGTCACCCCCATAACCCCAGTTGTGTCAATCTATTTTGTCAAGCAT